ATCTCAGAAACTATAAATCGGGCCTGCATACTGTAAGCGAGGAAATTGTTCAGCGTTTCATTTTCTCTGTAATAGGCTATGATTCAAAATTGTATCTTAACGCGAGGCCGTGTTAGCGATGCGAAAATGGAAAAACTAGTGTCAAAAACCAAATTATAACGACTTTTATTGAAGATATGGATTAAAATATAAACTAAAAATCGGACTTGCCTACTGTAAGCGAGCGAAATGTTTAGCATTTTATTATCTTTATAATGAGATAATATTTATAATTTATATTTCATATTGTTAATCTCCTCTTGTTGGTGTTTGCATTTCTATCGTGTGGTTTAAAGAATACATCTTAGTTTTTTTTTTTTATCACTTTTATCGTAGTAAGGTTTTAGATTTTGAAATTACTATTCATCGTTTCTCCGTGAAATTTTTGCAGAGACCTTGAAAATGGATTTACACTTCTATTATATATCGTGTAGATTATCAATGACCAATTCACAACCACCATTAATTTTGCTTGGCGTCTAGATAGTCCCATATGAATGAATGAATGAATAAATGTATATATTTTCTCAAAATTAAATTAGATAATCAGATGGTTCCATATCAATTTCATCAAATTCCATCCAGCGTTTCCGCTTACGCACATGCAAACGTATTTTTTTAGATATGCCAATATTTCAGAAACGGCTCGTTCGATTTGGCTCAAAGTTAAAAAAAGATAACGCACTATAAATTTCATAATGATGTAGAGATGGTTGACCGTTGATATAATATGAGAAGGAGTTAGTCGAGGGTGCGGTAAAAAATAAAATATATTAATTATTTTAATTTTTGCCGACGTTTCGACCCACTTTTCAGGTCGTCTTCAGGGCTACAAAAGATACAAAACATGTTGAAAATAAAAAATAAATATAAGTATATATAAAATAAGAAAACAATTATCTTGCCTACAGTTCTTTATGGATGCGAAACTTGGCCGCTTACATTAAGGGATGAGCAGCGTCTTAAGGTTTTTGAAAATAAAGTATTGCGTAGAATATTCGGACCGAAGAAGGATGAGTTAACCGGAGAGTTCAGACGGTTACACAACGCCGAATTGCGTGAGCTGTATCCGGGTAATATAATTGAGGTAATTTCAGCGCAGCGAATCAAATGGGCTTGTAAAGTTGTTGGGTTTAGTAACGAGAGAATTCCTAAAAGGTTAATATTTGCTGTGCCGAATGGTAAGCGTCCGAGGGGTAGACCGAAGCGAAGGTGGGAAGATTGCATTAAAGCCGATCTGAAGGGACTGGGTTTGGACGGCGAACGGTGGAGGGAGGTGTGTAACAAGCGATTGGTGGTGTCGGCATCGAACCTTCGGGTTCGCTAAGCCTTATTATTATTATTATTAAAATAAGAAGAAGTTGTCAGATACAGAAATAAAAGATGGTATCAGAGATATAGTATGTGACAATGTAGTTAAATATTAAGAATTATATATGTAGAAGATACAAATAAATGGAAAATAAGTAGGAATAAAAATAAAAATAAAGCAGAATACTGTAAGTTAAAAGTAAGCAGATTGCGATAAAAGATAAGGAATAAGTGTATAGCAAACTAGTAGAGATCACATTAGATAACTGTGGGTTAACAGATAAAGAAAATAAATACATGAATGTTAACGAATAAATAGATTGAAAATTGAATGAGTATTGTAACAGTAAAGTTAAAGTAAGAATAAGATAACATAATAATAAGATATCAGTGGATAACAAGCAAGTGGAGGTTACCTTTAATTGTAAATAAACAGATAATGGGACCAAAGGTTAAGAAGTGAAGAAATTGAAAGATTAATAGGATAACATTAGTGTAATATTGTTAGGATAGATTATTAAGTATAAATAACTCTATAAGAAAACGATAATTTTAAAAGAATACTTTAGAATGTAAGAATAAATGTAAAAACAAGGTTATGATGATAAAGAAACAAAAACAGGTTGTACTATATATAGATGACAATTGACATTCAATTTTTTGAAAACGGTAATGGAATAGTAGGCTGCATGAAGATAATAATAAGGTGTATAGTTGAAGGATAGCTGTGTTAAGAAAAGAATTACAATAAAAGTCAAAACATACCGTAGGAAAAACATATTTTAATTTTTTATTTATTTGACCGCACCATCGACTAACTCCTTCTCACACTATAAATTTCATTAAAATCTGTCTGCTAATTTCTCTTATATATGCGCAAACGTGTTTTTCTCTATATTTCTAAAATCTCACGTTCGATTTGGCTGAAATTTGGAGGAAAGTTAGGGGTTGGTTATCAGATAATTAGGTGAATAACAAGTTTATATATTTCTATTAAAAAAAAAAAAAAAATGCTTCCGGTTTCGAATCAGTAAATGTATTATTTGACACACCTATAGTCAGAAAACGGCTCCTTAAATTTATACTCCAACTTGAAGAAAATTTGGAGAACATAATAGAAATTGCATAGTATGAATTCATTCATAGTGATTCATTGAATTCCATTTAATTATTAAAATCACGGGCGGATCTACGGGGGGGGGGCTTTCGGGCTGAAGCCCCCCCCAAAATGGTAAAATGTAACCATATTTTACAGAAAAAAATACTTTATACTATCTCTTAAAGTACTCTTGTTGGTGTAATTACGTTTAATAGGACTTCAAGAACCACTTAAACACCATTTCATATAGATAATTAATTAATTTCTTTTTTTTCAAATTAATTATCGTTATATATATATATATATATATGAAAAAAAAAACTGTCGGGCTGAAGCCCCCCCAAAACTAAATCCTGGATCCGCTAGTGATTAAAATTAATATAAATAACGGTTAACAATATAATAGCTGTGAAATTCGAATTGATCATGTGTATCGGGATTAGATTAATACGATATTTTTATAAGGATATAAAATTAAATAAGATTTTATTCAAAAATTTAATTTATACTGTATTGTTCGGTTAACATCATGCTTACTGCCATTATTTAGATTTCGTGTAATTTTTAATAAATTTAACTGAATTCTTACTCTATGTTTGTAAAACAAAAAAGTAGTCGTATTTATGATTGTGTTTAATTCTATTGAAATTCAACCAGTTCTTCGTGTTCTAGATTTCATTCTTAAACATCAAAGTTGTGAGAACTTCACTTATATTTTTATATTCCAGCTTAAATTAGTTTTGTTCTGACTGAACAAAAGTATTGGTCACGTTAATTCCGAAGAAACAAAAAGTTGAATTATTACTATGGATTTTTTGTTCCATCCATTTTACGTGTGATAACATAGCTATTAAGAATATATACTACTGTTTGTGCAAAATTTGGTACAAATTTTCAATTTAATTCTATATTTGACATTTTGTAGTATGTAACTGATATAAGTCTGCTACAATGGAAAATATTAGAGGACAATAAAATATGAAATTATACTAGTAAATCATGAAGAAATTAGTAGTTTTTATCCTTTTCTGTAAAAACTTAATTTTTACATACGACCTTTTGCACTAACAGACTGATATGCATGTTCAGTATGCCCTGAAATTTTTGTTTTAATCGCGGATTATCAAATATATAATCTGCAAATGAGGAACTCTTTAGCATTTTAGTATTTGCTGATGAATAAAACTCGTGGATATCAAACACGTATATGTTGAGGGATTACTGAATTTTCGAAAACGGCTTTTCCCAGAGATTTTATTTTTATACAAAAAATTTAGATCTTGGAATAAACATATTTTGTAGCTAATGAAAACGGTGAGGAAGCTATACTGGTCTTAATCGGCAGACATGGTTTTTGACAGGTCTATAAGTTTCAGAGACCCCTGAGTACGAAAAACACATTTTTAGCCATTGGTCTGTCTGTCTGCCTGTGCCAAGATTTTCACGGGAACTAGTGAACCGATTTTTTAATTTTATTTTTATTTTATAGGGTTTTGACTACTGATGCCTGTGACACAAATTGGGATCTCCGGGCGCAATAGCGGCTCTGCAATAATTGAAGAACATATTTTTCTATAGACTGTAGCGCGAAAACGGCCCAAACGATTTTGATAACACTTTTCTATAATAATCTAATAATCATCCTTTCAATTTTTGTACATGTACCCGAGAAAATTCAGGAAAATAAGTTATAAAGAAAAGAAAAATGTTTTGGAGCCTAACTCGTTAAGTATAAAATTATACGGTAAAATTCATAATACAACTTTTGAAAGATTAAATTACTAACAAAACATTAAAAAAAAACATCGAAATCGAACTAGTATTAGCGATGGTATAGGGTATTCTATTTTTTACACATTTTTTTTATTTATTACTTTACTGCCCATATTAGGTAAGGAAAGTATAGCAATCTGGTCAAATTTCCGATACATATTTTTTTACGAATCTATACGTTTCAGAGCCCTCTTAGTCAGAAAAACACACTGGGTTTTGTTTTTTTTTTTTCGGACAACTATTAACGAAGTTAAAGAGAGGGGTGAATGAGAAAAAAGAAAACAAAGTGAAAGTAAGAAAATCTGTTGCATTACACACAAGCTTCACTATGTCCTCTACTTTTAACAAAAATTATTGTTTGACAAAATTAGGTTATAGCAAAAAGTTTTTGATTAGCAATATTAGAGGGTATTGAAATTTTTACAATGATATACCTTAAACCGGTTTACATTGCTTTAGTTTATAAAATAAATCGTACTCAAATCTTTTCTTCGGTCAATTTTCAGGAAAATAAATCTAATTCAAGTTTTTCTTTTGGTTCTTGATGGACATATTTAAAGATATAAAAACTTTTCTGAAATAGGTAGGAAAGTCGTGTGAGTGGACACACCAGATTTATTTTTAGATATTCAGCACCGAAGCTGTTCACTTTTGGTATTCATTTAAAAAAAAACTTCTTCGATCATGATGTATTCCAGACCAACGAAACTGGGAGAGTTTTTATCGATTAGATAATCGAGTAACGATGATACAGCAAACGTTTCTGGGTGCAACAAACCTGCTTCGTGCCTTCTATTAGCAGCTGCGTGACGAATAACAATATCACCAGAGCAGACATCTTGACCCCACAAAGATAGAACATGGACTGATGGGAAAGCTATTCCCACGATTCATTTAAACAAGAAACCTGTGATGGTGGTGGGGGGGGGGAGTTGAAACATTTATCCGTAAAAATATGATTTTTCTTTTATTTACTTTAGTGCGAGTATGAATACATTTTTTAAAGATTGAAAGTCCCTAGGAACTATTTTATAATAATGTTCTTTGTTTATGGTAAAAAAAAAATTTCAACTATTCTTGGAATGAGATACACACAGTAAAATTTAGTTAAATTTTAATTTAGGTATTGCCCAGAAAATAATGCAGGATTTTGAAAAGAAAAAATCTGATGCGCGTATCACATGACTTTCACTTCGCTTCTTAGCAAAATAAAATATTTTCAGACAAATTGGAAGTAAAAATTATAGACGCTATATTTATTTACATTTCATTTTGGATATTTTTATTTGTTTAAATAAACTCTAAATCAAACCCAAGATATAGAAAAATCTGCTCCTTTAATGTTACCAGACCAGAGGATTATCTTCAGTTCAGGACTCTGAATTTAAACAAATTAAGAGCCGTTAGTCGTCTCAGAGTAGCAAGTAAAGATTTTATGAAAATATACTTAAAAGATGCTACTTTGACTATTAAATCCAGTGAGGTGTGTGGTGCATGCAACTGCCTTGTAACTGACCCGGTAACTCATTTTCTGATCCAATGTATCAAGTTCAACGAGCCAAGAAATAAGTACTTGAAGGCATTTATCACTGAATCCAGAGAAGATGCTAGTGTGGAGGAGATATTGAAAATAGACACTACGAAAAAAATAAACCAACTGTATCTTTCCATACAGGGCTGTTCATTGAACTGTTCAGTGGTATAGTTAATCATATAACATATATTAATTCTTATTTATATTGTCATTTGTCTTATACCTCTCGAATATTTAAAAAAAAAAATAAAAAAAAAAATGTTTTACTAATTGTTATGTATATATATATCGTTTACTAATCTGTTAATATATTAGTCATACTTAATGCTGTGGACATTGTTAATGTTATGTTTGAATGCAGTACTAGACTCAAGATATAACATTGTTAATTATACCATTATATTTATTTGTACAGGAATTTCGTCAGACAAATAAAATAAACTATCTTATCTATTTGTTTAAATATCCTTACATATACGAATTTTAAATTTTTATATCGCTGTATTCTATCTAATTAAATATTAAATAATACCAAAGATAGCGTTTATAAAAACCGTATATGTATATGTACATAATGTTGTCAGAGGGGGTTAGCGAATCGTATTCTCCACTTTTGTTTTTCTTTCTAAAATAAATAAAATCTATATAAACATTTTACTAGGCTTCAATACAGGAACGGTGGTAGGTCTGTAGATCGATACGGGACAAATTGGGCTTTAAAGATTTTGATGCGTACAGCAAGACCCGGATAGTTTCCTTAGGAACTATCAGACTCAGCCCCAAAAATGTACTATTTTCAAGATAAAGCAAGGCAAAGGATTCTCATCCAGACAACCTTACATTAATTGTAGTACTGTCATTGAATACATGTCTCATTTCGTCGACTTGAGGCCTCTATGATCGAGACAGGAGGAATTTATATTATTTATCGATGTTGTGTTTGATCGGCAAGCCACACCATCGTTAATTCTTCACCAAATCCTAAGATTGAGCCACCAATTTTGAAGATTTCCTTCTCCTTCAGGCGGGCAAAATAGTCTAATCACCCCGAAAATTCAGGCAAAGAACTTATGAAAGAAAACAAACTTTATTTGCGAATAACTAAAAAATTACGAACTTTTCCCTTGGTTATGCCCATGATTTTATATAAAAGATTACTAAATTCCCTACAAATGAAAAAAAAAAAAAAAAATCATCGAATTCGGACAATTGTCAGCAAAGCTACAGCTTATTGAAATTTTTAAACATTAAAGAAGTTTTAAATTAATTTGTGTTTCCTTTGTCGACTGTATTTAGCGAGAAAGTAACAATTGATTTCTTTTATGATACGTTGTTACATTGTTTATTCTTTTATTAATTTATTATTTGGTCACTGAACAATATACTGTGCGATTTTCTCACGGGTCTACTAATTAATGCATAAATACAATAAATAAGAATAAAATAATTTAAAGATAATATACATATATACACTATTTACAATCAATGATAGAACTCCGAACCAGCCTTGCTTCTCCAAGTGGAGGGAAAAGCAGGACTCCCGGAGATCCCTAGGCTACTATCTCAACCGCGTCACTAGGGGTAAACCCAGTGGATATTTAGCGAAAGCGTAGGTAAAGCGCATACACTCACATCATGAGTGGGGAATCCGGACATTGCTAGAACTCCAATATTTACAAAATATAAAAGTTCATGGGGTCATTACCGTTTTAACCTTCTTGGAGGATTATAGGGGTGGGTGGTGCTGGATAGGGATTGTGCAAGAGGATTCGGATGATAGGTAAGGTTCTGGTGAAATTTGGAGATATATTAAGGTCATGGTGTAGGGTTTTGTTGGTTACATAGAAAGGAGCATCGACTATTGTTCGAAGGACTTTGGATTGGATGCGTTTGATGTTAGAAAATTTTGCTGTTCTCCACATTTCAAGTCCGTAAGTTCAAATAGGTTTCAGTATGGTCTTGTAGATCAGTAATTTGTAATATCCTCATTAAGGTTTTATTTAAAACATTTACTTCATCGCTCTTTGTTTTGAGATTTAGCTTTATCACCAGGATCTCACTTCACTTTCTTCAACTCTGCGAAAGCGTGAACAAGAAAGGATAAACAAATGCCTTTTTAGTAAATTAATAAATTACTAGAATGTTGGTAACATCCGGTACACAGCACATTCCAAGGCAGCAGATCTGATTGGACACGTCGTGTTCAAGTTGATAACTAGATAGCTCGGGTTTATCAAACAGTTTTATCTACTTCCTGGATCACACTAATGGAATTTTATTTATTTTTTACCAAAAATAACAATAAATATGAATTTAAGAACTAGCATATACATTTAGCCATTAATGTTTAATGAAATCGGAATTTTATTTAATTTAATAAAATCAAGTCTTCTTAATAAACACCGGTGGTGTGCTATGGAGCAGAAACCTGGTCACTGAAAGTCTCGGACCAATTATACCTAAGAGTTTTTGAGAGAAAAGTATTATTAAGACGTCTTTTCGGCCTATATATTGCTATGTTCCTGGCCTCGCGTTTCTGCGGCGAGTAGGGGGTTACAGGAACCGCATTTATTTGTATTTAATAGTTATATTTCTATTTATATCGGTTCCAGAAGGGAACCGATCAACAGAAAAATATATTAATTAGGTATTTAAAGGTAAGATACCACAGACTCCCTACTGTAGTATCCTAGATTGAACCATATAATTTTTATTGGATTTCCTTTCTAAAGGTATCATGTTTTTAAATTTACTATTTGTTCTTTATCTAATTGGTGGCATGCAAGGTAGAATGTAAAAGTACTACGTTGGTTTACTAACTATTATATTTACAAGCTTAAATAAAACCAAAAACATCTATATACAAAATAATAAATAAACCTATATACATAATGAATAGTTGAGAATCATACTAGAGGAGAATGCTTGATTAGAGTTACATATGTTCTATTGATTTTATTAATTAATGATTGATGGTTGCCAACACAAATTTACATTAGTATAACTAAATGCTTGTTACCACTTAGCTGGTCATTCATAGTGAGGGGGGGAGGGGGTTGCAGGTGTTTCTAGCCGTCATATCTGGATTCCCTGTCTCTGCTCTCCTTCAGCGTCTAGTCCGTCCATCTGCTCTCTCCGGCTGTGTCCTAGCTCTCCTCCGCCGAGTCCCAAGAGGAAGTCCCCTCCTCTCAGTCCCAAAAGCAAGTCCTCCTCTCCGAGTCCCAAGAAGAAGTGTTCAGTCCCAATTCTCTATTTCCCACCTTTTTTCATACCCCTCTCTTTTGGTAGTCTTTTTCCTGATTGGCTGAATATTCTCAGCCTAAGGGATGACCACGCCCTCTCCCCCAGGCCAAGGTAAAGCAGCAGGTACAGATTACCATATTTCTGGTGGAAGGTGTGAAAAGGTCTTTCGGGATCCTTTTTAAACACTTAGTTGTCGGTCTTTGTCGGTGGTCCTTAAAGGTTTTTATTACCACTTACAAAAGGTTGGGCTTGTTGGTCGTTACCCTCAGTCAGGTACCGCCAGATGTGAACACTTATGATGTTTATTTATACATTTAAAATAATTATTTCACCGGCGGTCTTTACAATACATAGCAATATTTAGAGGGCACCTGACTATCAGAACGAATGGGAAACTTGACAACCCCATAGGGCATGAGGATATAGTCAGATTTGTTAAATCAAGAAGGCTAAGTGGCTTGGTCATGTTGAAAGGTTGCCAGAAGGACAGGTGACAAAACAGATAATTAAGGAGGATTTCTCATACCAGACTGAAACGACAAGAAACCGCTCGGCGTTTCTGATTACTTCAGCACTTACTAGACAAACGGTCTAAACTTCCAATTAATTACAAAAGACTCATATACATGACTATAATAAGGCCTATTTGGACTTATTGAGTTTTTTTTTTGGCTATACGGGGTTTTCCGGGGATGTGTTAGCGGGGATTTAAAAGACTCCCCCGGGCACCGGGATGCGAATTCGTGACTATTTTTGTATCATTGAGTCATTTATCAGGATGCAGGGCATTTTTATATAGCATTTTCATATACTGTCTGTTTACAAGCGAACTTCAAGAACGTCGAATGGAACAGAGAAATATGTCACATTAGGTAATCACATCCTGAAAGCGGTAAAAACAAGTATTTAGGTGCTCTAATTTTTTTTTTTTTTTATATTTGTTTATTTAGAAATATTACATTCTGTCACATCAAGGACATTTATAATAGTGTTCAGAGAAAGCACACTCACACTCTATTTACAATAAAAAAAAAAATAATAATACAGAAACTTAATAATAATAAATACAATAAAATAAAATAA